AGAGGGAAATAGGTGTGTGTGAGTGTGTGAGGAGATAGGATGGAATGGGCAACATTACTGACATTGAATTGTGAATAGTAGTTACGAGAAAGATGGGTCCAAAGGCCTGGCCCTGGATAGATGATAGGTCCATGACAGGAAGTGATTAGCAAAATACTAGGCTAGATACGTCTTCTGTGGTGTATTGGTAAAAACAACTAATATTTGCTGAGTATTACTTTAATGTGCCAGACCCTAGGAAAAGCACTTTTATATGGATTAGCACATCTAATCCTTATAACGACCCTATGAAGTAGTAGTATTAATATTACTCCTAATTAAAGGAAACCAACACTCAGGTTAGTAACTCCCCAGCCTCATCTGGCAAATTCAGGTCTAACTTCAGAATCCAAACTCTTGGGGCTTCCCTGGTGGCGCAGTGGTTGAGAGTCTGCCTGCCAATGCAGGGGACGTGGGTTCGTGCCCCGGTCCGGGAGGATCCCACATGCCGCAGAGCGGCTGGGCCCGTGAGCCATGGCCACTGAGCCTGCGCGTCCGGAGCCTGTGCTCCACAACGGAAGAGGCCACAACAGTGAGAGGCCCGCGTACCGCAAAAAAAACCCAACAAAAACAGAATCCAAACTCTTAACTTTGTATGCGCGGGACCCAAATCCTTTCCTATGTACCAGCATAAGCAGAGATATGATGGTAAACTGGCTTTCTGTTGGGGAAAAGAACCTTGATTTGTAGTATTTGCTGTATTTGTCTTCATCTCCCAGCACCACTGCTGGGGCATCATTGTCATCCTCTCATAGCCAGGGAGCTGGCAGTGACGGGACAGAAGAGTGTTAGGAACCTGCCCCCATTAGAGCACGGGATGGGGGGCTGGGCTGAAGGAGCAGCGCACCGCACAGCCCCTCAGGCCTCGGAGACACACTCCGCCCCTTGCCCTAGAGTTTCCACCCGAAAAGCCACCGTCATACCTTCTAGGTGGGTCTGAAATGATGCCCTTGATACCTCTGGAGGACTAGAAGCCTGCTCTCCCCTTCCCTCCTTCAGAAACAACTTGAAAGGAATAGTTGAAGCATTAACACCTTGGTACAATTTTCAACAAAATAAGACAATGCTCTTCTGTCACTTTTTTCCTCTCCTCCGCACTTCACACTCCCACGGCTGTTGTCCTTGCAGCTAATTACTCTGCTCTTTGACTAGTCACTCTCCTGTCTGTCAGCTGGTGCTGCCGCCAGGAAGAGCAGGCCTCCTGGAAATACGCTGCCCTCCGTCCCCAGCAGCGTGCTTCTCAGGGTCACCGGGATCCGAGGGTCCCAGGACACAGACACCGGCATGGGGATCATATGTAATCACGAACACCCATGTATGTTCATATGCAAGAGTCACTAGTTTTGAAAAGGCAGGTGGTTTTTGTTTTGTTTTCATTTTGTTTTCTTAACATCTTTATTGGAGTATAATTGCTTTACAATGGTGTGTTAGTTTCTGCTTTATAACAAAGTGAATCAGTTATACATATATATATGTCCCCATATCTCTTCCCTCTTGCATCCCCCTCCCTCCCACCCTCCCTATCCCACCCCTCTAGGTGGTCACAAAGCACGGAGCTGATCTCCCTGTGCTATGCGGCTGCTTCCCACTAGCTGTCTGTTTTACATTTGGTGGTGTATATATGTCCATGCCACTCTCTCACTTCGTCCCAGCTTACCCTTCCCCCACCCCGTGTCCTTAAGTCCATTCTGTACGTCTGTGTCTTTATTCCTGTCCTGCCCCTAGGTTCTTCATAGCCATTTTTTTTTTTTTTAGATTCCATATATAAGTGTTAGCGTACGGTTTTTTGTTTTTCTCTTTCTGACTTACTTCACTCTTTATGACAGACTCTGGGTCCATCCACCTCACTACGAATAACTCAATTTCATTTCTTTTTATGGCTGAGTAATATTCCATTGTATTTATGTGCCATATCTTCTTTATCCATTCATCTGTTGATGGACACTTAGGTTGCTTCCATGTCCTGGCTATTGTAAATAGAGCAGCAATGAACATTGTGGTACATGACTCTTTGAATTATGGTTTTCTCAGGGTATGTGCCCAGTAGTGGGATTTCTGGGTCGTATGGTAGTTCTATTTTTAGGTTTTTACGGAACCTCCATACTGTTCTCCTTAGTGGCTGTATCCATTTACATTCCCACCAACAGTGCAAGAGGGTTCCCTTTTCTCCACACCCTCTCCAGCATTTGTTGTTTGTAGATTTTTTGATGATGGCCATTCTGACTGGTGTGAGGTGATACCTCACTGTAGTTTTGATTTGCATTTCTCTAATGATTAGTGATGTTGAGCATTCTTTCATGTGCCTCTTGGGCATCTGTATATCTTCTTTGGAGAAATGTCTGTTTAGGTCTTCTGCCCATTTTGGGGTTGGGTTGTTTGTTTTTTTGATATTGAGTTGCATGAGCTGCTTGTAAGTGAAAAAGCCAGTTTAACAACAACAAATAGGGCTTTAGTAACACCTGTTAAATCAAGCTCTTTTCCCTATTTGCAGGACATAAGCAGACCCTCTATGAATTGTTTCCAGAGGCAACTGTTTTAAAGAGAAGAGAGGACCGGGAAAGAAAAGCAAAATTCCTGAGACCCTACTGTGTACTGGGCTTTAAAAACAATCTTCATGGCAGCCTCATTTCCATTGAAACAATGAGGAGAATGAGGGTTGGAGAGGTTTAGTAGCTGCCCAGAGAGTGAATAGGGCCAACTAGGATGACAGCATGATGGAAGCAATCTTGGCAGAAACAGGTTTGGGATTTGGCTGCAGACGTCATCAGAAGGCTCCCCCCAGAGAATAAGATGTTGCACTGCAGGAGGGACCCCCACCCCCTCCATCGCCAATCAGAGTGTATGACCAGCTGTATGTCTTGGTGTCTGTGACCTCTGACTCTTGAGCAGTCATTCTCTAGGCAAAATTACAAGTACCCAGATAGCAGATTCAGTTGTGATGCTCTGAATGGTATCGCGTGGGAGTGGTAGGCCATCATTCTGTTGAGGGCCACCAGCCTATGGGTTTGTTTTTTTAATTGAAGTATAGTTGATTTACATTGTTGTGTTAATTTCAGGTGTACAGCACAGTGATCCAGTTATGTATTTACATATATGTGTATATATTTTTCATATTCTTTTCCCTTATATTGAATGTAGTTCCCTAAAGAAAGAAATCAAGGGCCATTCAAGAGGAAGCGCTAAAAACACATTACCTAAAAGGACCAGATTACCTTTTAAGTAAGAATGGGTTGCAGAGTTTTTTCTTCATTTTAAAAAACAATTATTTCAAACTGCAAAAGCATCCTGCTTTAGAGCTAGAAGGGCTGTGAGAAATCATTTGGTTCAAGTCTCTCATATTTTTTAGATGAGGAACTTTGGTTCAAAGAGGTTAAGTTTTTTTTTCCCAAGCCAAAGTCACATGAATGATTAGGGACACAGCTGTCCCCAGACATCCAACTTTTCTGATTCAGGAGTCCAGGTGTTGTGATGTTCTGTTCAATATACCGCTCGGCTGATTTTTCTATCTGTATTTCTTAGTGTCTTAGGAATAAAGGAGAGAGTAGTGGGTAATAAGAAATTAGAGGAAAAAGTTAGAATGAAAAGACTGAAAAAGAGAAAGAAGATGGAGTGACTTTTCAATTAACTTATGATTTCAGCTTGTCACCATGTGTCACTTTTAGCACCGAAATTGTAATTCCTTTTGACCATAGCTCTTCAAGAATTGTTGACATTTTGTCATAGCCCATGCCCAAATGAAATGCAATAGTCAGTATAAGATGAAGTTTGGGAACCTGGAGTAGAAATGTCCTTTAGTTAGTGACTAAAATAAGACTAATCTACAAGTAGACTTATTCTGTGGGTTCAAATCCTGGCTCTGCCACTTCTTCTTGACTGTGTAGTCTTTGCAAATTAATCTCTCTAGGCCTCTATTTCCCCATCTGATAAACGGGGATAATGATACTCGTACTTCAGAGAGTTGGTGTAGGGCAGCTGGATTAGTGCTGGCCCATCGTGAGTTCTAGGTGCCCGAGTTTTTATTGTTCAACACCAGATTTTACTCGGAGTAATACAATATAAATCCTTTCATGAACTTTCATGCATGTCATTAAAAGCCAGCTTTTATCTTTGTCCTTCAGTGTACTGCCCACTTCTGGGTTCCATGCCTCATTCTCATAGGGATAAGTAAGGGAGCAGAACCTAGTGGTGTCCCGCACCCCCCCCCCCACCCCGTAGAAGGCAGTCAGAAGCGGCGGGGTGGCAAAGGTTCAGCGCTATGGAATCTTTGCTTTTCATTCTCTGTAAATGAATCTTCTCTCCCTGCTTTGGCCTTATCGTACTTCATTCTGTGATTATGGAATATGCAGAAGGTCTCTAATAGTATGCTAAGGGTGGTGGGGATGAAATATAGAGAGGAGACAAAATCTTTGGCTAATGGGATCTTTTAACCAGTTTTAGTATTAAACATTATGCAGCTTGAAAGACTCTTTCAAAGAGTGCTTGAACTAGAAGAAACTTTAGTAATTATCAATTACAAGTCTTTCATTTTACAAAGAAACTAAGGCCCCAAAGCTGATATTGTCTATTTGATATTACATTATGATTGTTTCTATTTTAATTATTTACTTATTCTCTACCCTGATGCAATATGGGCCTGAATCAGCCTATGGAGGTACAGAATTACAATTCAGTGAGGGAATCTCTGTGTATGTGTGGTGGGGAAATGGGGAATGGGGGGAGGTAAATGCAAAACGTGGCCAAGGGAGAAATTTTTGAAAAGTTAATGCCCTGGAATACATGATAAAGGTCTGTACGTGTTCTGTACATGTGGTTGGTTCCTGGCAGCCAACAGAAAGGGACATGGGGCTTCCCTGGTGGCGCAGTGGTTGAGAGTCCGCCTGCCGACGCAGGGGACACGGGTTCGTGCCCCGGTCCGGGAAGATCCCACATGCCGCGGAGTGGCTGGGCCCGTGAGCCATGGCCGCTGAGCCTGCGCGTCCAGAGCCTGTGCTTCGCAACGGGAGAGGCCACAACAGTGAGAGGCCCGCGTACCGCAAAAAAAACAAAAAAGAAAGGGACATGGATGATATGATCCACTGAATTTACAAGTTAAACAGACCAGTGCTGAGGAGAAGCAAAGCTAGTGCTGATTTTGAGGTAGAAAGAAATTTTTCCATGCATTATTATAAATTTTTATTAATATTTCTTTGGCAAGCTACAACATTCTTGCATTTTGCATTCTTGCAACATTCTTGTATTTCCAGATCCAGAGCTCTAGATACTGCATGATCAGAAATGAAAGACTTCAGATATACTGCAGTAACACCTGTGTTAACAACCAAAAAAGTATGGTAATGGCATATTTTTGTCAGAAATATTGATTCAAAGCTAGAAATTATATCAAGGCCTAAGGTGATAATCCTTCATTTCAGAGAAAAGCGTTTATTATACAAGAAGTCAAAACTGCTGAAACTAATGTCAAGTAGGCCATACAGTGTTTTGCGAACTGTAGATCGTTATTCTTAAGTAGATCATGAAATGAGTTTAGGAGGTTGTACCCAATGTATTTTTTTAATGAAATGGATTAACCCAGAATATAGCAGAATGGAAGCTGACAGAGGAAGGGTGTATGTGTGTGTGTATTTGTGGTTGTGCTGTATCACAGTGTAAAATGTACTTGTCACCAGGATTGTGGTCCAAAACATTTGAAAGCCATTGTCATCAAACCATTAAAAGGGGCATAGCAGCATCTTGGGCATAGGGTCAGATTAAGGTTGACCTAGGCTTTTGAGGAGTCGGAGGGAGAGGTTAAGGAAACTCCAAGCAAAGGTGCCCATTGGAGACTTGGGCTAAGGCTGAGGAGGGCAAGGACCCCAGCAAATGCACATGCTCCAAAAGCAGCACTTTTCAAAACCTGTGGCTGTCATGGAGACGTGGGAGAGGACGCATGGTGGGGTACATTTAAAACGTCATGAGTCATACCCTGAGATACATGGACAAGGTCACAGCGGGGGGCCCGTTCCATTGTGTTCATTCTCCCACCAACATAAGCACCTTCCCCAAATCAAGACCAGGCCTTCGGCTGGATGCCCTTTGGACCTACACTGTCCAGTACAGGAGCCATGAGTCACCTGTGACTACAGAGCCATTGTAACGTGGCTGGTCCCAAGTGAGACGTGCTCTAAGTATAAGATACACTCCAAATGTACAAGAATGTAAAATGTCTCGTAAATTTTGTAATACTGATTTATTGATTACATGTTGAAATGATGGCATTTTGGATATATTGAGTTAAATAAAATGTATTATTAATTTCACCTGTTTCGTTTTATTTTTGTAGTATGGCTGCTAGACATTTAAAACTTACATACACGGCTCCTGTGTGTGACTTATATTGTATTTCTGTTGGGCAGCACTGATCTGGACTCCCCTTATGCTATCTCTAAAGTACCTCTTAAAGGACTATTTCGTAATTACTCTTAATCTTTTCTTTCCAGATCTTCCCACCTGCTTCTCAATCTTTGAAATGTCTTTAAGAAAGAAAGTCATTTTTTCTCTTAGTGATGAAATTCAAATGCACAGTTTGAGTTAATGTTTTCGTGGGGGTAGGTTTTTTCAGTAATTTTTCTATCAATCAAGTCAATAATTGGTCGAACCTTCCTTGGTTGTTTGGGTAAAGGTCATGGAAAGTGGGTTCCTCGTTTCCTAAGTTTTGGGGGATGGAATGATGGCACAAAAAGAGGGTAAAGTGATGGAAGACATTTGTGCCTGCCATTAATTTCACTCAGACTGCTGCCTGGGGACAGCTCTGCTATGGGAGATTTCTGGCTTTCAAGGGGAAAAAAAAGGCCTGATTTCAGATAATGCTTTGTTCCCTGGTGATTTGATAATTGCTGATTTCAATAACTGGCTTTTTTTCCCCCTCCTCCTGAGCTAAATTTGGCTCTCAGTTTGGATTTCAAGAATTCTCCCCACTTATTTTTGACTATCGGGATCCCAACGAATTCAAAACTATATACCCTTTTAGATCCTTAATCGTAAGGGAAGGATCTAAAGCTTCCCTTACGATTAAGGATATAAAGCTGACTCTTTCCTCCGAGGCCCCATCTTAGGGGTCTGTTCCCACCATGCTGTCTGGGCACCTTCCCTCCCCAGGTCTCAGTACTGACTCTGCCCCCTACTCCACCCCCATCCCCACCAGGGTGACCACAGGTCTCACTGAATTTTCAAGACTCCGTATCTCAGACTCAGCATTTAGGATTGATCAAAAGAAAATACTAGTATAATACTTCCTGGGATTCTGGTTTTTGAAAGGAAAATAATTACAGGCCTAATGATTGAAAGATGGTTTGAAACTTGAGAATGAAGTGTTTGATCCATTTTAACTGTTAATGAGAATCAGTGTGGTTCCACCAACAAGAAAAATCAATATTGATTTTTCTTCTCTCTGTGCCCTCCCCTTAGGAGTTGCTCTGAGACCTACCGCATGCCAGTGATGGAGTACAAAATGAACGAAGGGGTTTCCTACGAATTCAAGTTTCCCTTTCGAAATAATAACAAGTGGCAGAGGAATGCCAACAAGGGGCCTCATTCACCTCAAGTTCCATCCCAGGTGCAGAGTCCCATGACCTCGAGGCTGAATGCCGGGAAAGGAGACGCGAAGATGCCTCCTCCAGAACGAGCCGCCAACATTCCCCGAAGCATCTCCAGTGACGGGCGCCCACTGGAGAGGCGGTGAGTGTGCCTCCCAAGCTTTTCTCTGAATCTCTGCCCCAAATTTAAATAGCACCAGGCCCATAAGCACTAGCTTTAGGTCTTCCCATATTTTACTAGAAATCAAAACTTAAAACTGAGATGCATGCACTAGTGGTTTTCAAAGCATGGCAGCATTCCAAAGCCATCAGGATAAGTGAAGATGTATTCCAGCAAAGCGTGCAGCTCTCTGTACAATGGTATTTGGGCTTTGCTCTTTCATTTTCATGTGATATCAACAGAAATCATCACTGCACGCTCAGTAGCCATACGAGCTAGAACTTGGCAGACTCTTTGAGGTGACATTGACCATATCATCATCTTTGACAGTCTGTGTCTTTTGGAGATGAGTGATACAACAGTGGCAAGAGAATGCAGGTTTTTGGTTGAGTGTCTGTGTTTGTGTCACTTTGTTAATAAAGAATTGTGAGAAGAGAAATCCACTAGTATAACACAAACATATTTTTCCACTGCTCTGAATGTAAAAGAAAATAGTGGATATGTTAAAACACTCAGTCCTGAGTAAAGTAAGCAAAAGGAGAGGGATCGAGGGATCCCAGAAAGTAACAAAACGAGGTTTGCTGTTAAGTTGAAAGTCACAGTGGATTCCCTCACAGGTGATAACTGGTGAACTCTTCCTTAACCAGCATGCCCTAGCACTTTTGTCTCGAATTCACTGTAAAATGCAGCACTGTGAACTAAGAACCTTGGCCAAAAATTGAACTCGATAAAGTACTCTTAAAATGTGAATACAGGGCTTCCCTGGTGGCGCAGTGGTTGAGAGTCCACCTGCCGATGCAGGGAACGCGGGTTCGTGCCCCGGTCTGGGAGGATCCCACGTGCCGCGGAGCGGCTGGGCCCGTGAGCCGTGGCCGCTGAGCCTGCGCGTCCGGAGCCTGTGCTCCGCAACGGGAGGGGCCACAGCAGTGAGAGGCCCGCGTACCGAAAAAAAAAAAAAAAATGTGAATACAAATGGACTACATAATTTTAAATCATTGCACTATAAATTCAGTCACCCCAAATTACCTAGGCTAATGAAGGAGACGGTTTAACTCAGTAACCTGCTAGTGCCCTTCTAGAAGAAGCCAACTTCTTTCCGTCCATGCACCGTCCTTTCCCCATCACTGTGCTTGTCTTGATCACATCTCTGAGTGTTTTTGTGGCCCCCGCACTGCAAAAGGATCAGGAACCCTCAGAGCTGGGGGGGAGAAGTCTCTGTTCCAGGAGCTGCTATGTGGGTAGAAGGAAGGTCTCTGGAGCAAAAATGTGAGCCTGACTCATCTGAGCCTCAGGAACCAGGTCCAGCAAGAACAGGGCGCCAAGGAAAAGAGATCCCAGCTATGCTTCAGGAGTCGTTGGTTCAAGTTGAGAGCAGAAAGTTGGAGATTTTAAAAACCACACAATGGTGTCTTTTATCTTAAAAGACATGAAACATCGTCACTTAACTATTTCAGAAATACTGGAATACCATGTAGAAATAGTTTAATCACAACAGACAACCAAAAAAAAGCCTAGTTGTCTTTCTAAAATTCCTCATGTAATACTGGGGATTTATTTACAGAGCCTTGCTATTTATCTCAATAAAGGATTCCTCTCCCAAAGTGGCTGCATTCCCATCTGGACTCCTCTTGCTTTCATTATTTTCGAGAAGGAAAAACATCCAAGTGGTCGCTGAATAAATTCTTTGTTCTGCACATTCCAAACTTGGCTCCCTCTGAGGTGTGTGTTAACTGGAATTCATGATTTGGCCCACATTTGGAAGGATGAACCTAGGAAACCATTGTTTAGAGAAGGACCTTTTGTTCCTCTCAATGGTATTTTCTTTCTCTCCAGGACAGTCATCAGGCTTTTATGAGTGAAATTGGATTTGTGTTATTTTCTTTATACAATAGTCCCTATAATAAAATAGCAGAATATATTTTGCTTCCACGTTGAATTTAATTTCTGCAACGGAAACTAAAGCTTATTGCTGAACATACTGACCTCTGAAAGTGCAAATATTTTTTGTAGCTAATTATCCTTTTAGCATGCAAGCAACTTTTAGTGCTAAAGAAGGCATCAACTCCATTTTTTCCAGTTGGAGATCTTTGAGTTCTGGAGGTTCTTTTTGTGGGTACTTGTGTCTGCCTTTCATCATAACTCCACCCAGAGGAAAGGGAATCCGTGTGCTCTCCCTATAAGACTAATAATAATAGCCCTGGGGCTCTCCAAGCTATAAGATGCAAGTGACAGAAGTGAGGCTGCCAATGGTTTTTTAACCTCTACTCACTTCCCTCTGAGGCTTCTTAGTTTCAGATATCCTTGAGGACATTGGACTAGGATTTAAGATCTTATGACGGAGGGCTTGTAAAATCTGAGCTTTACATTTTCAGGTTATTTGTCTCCTCTTCATTTTGAAAGGTGTGGTAATTAGACGGCTATTCTTTCATGAAAATTTAAGAGTTCGCTGTCCTATCCCATCATTCTTAACTTTTAGTAAAGCAGTATTAGTTAAGTTTCAACTTTGAGTCATAAATAGAAGGTGCTGTTTGAGAAACTTTGTATTGCTACTGTTTGCAGAATATTTGAGTATAGAATAGACTCGTGGCCTTCATCGGGAATACGTCCAGATTCCTGAGATTCATACAGTGTACCTGGGAATATAATTTCCTCCATGAAACGTAGTAAAATATAACTAAAAAATTTACGCATTCCCTTCATAGTCTTACTGAGAACAAACCACCTTACTGTGATGTGGAAGTGAGGCCCCTGGCTGGGCGCACCTCCTCCATCTGACTCTCCCCTTCATACCGGCCCTGCCCTGGGTGCCATTTGCATCCGTACCTGGGCCATCTAGAGAGTGTGATATGGACCGTTCAGGTGAATCACAAATAGTCAAAACAAATGCCCAGGTCTGCCATTCCCTGAATCTTGCCTTACCAATAGTGGCATGAGCCTGATACTCAGACTAAAGGATAGTCCCTCAGCATCCGCAAAGATTGGCTCCAGAGCCCTCCATGGATACCAAAATCTGCACCTGCTCAAGTCCCGTAGTTGACCCTCCCGTCCTCGGATTCAACCAATTGCAGATCGTAAACATAGTAGTGTATGTATTGAAAAAATCCCCGTAGATGTGAAGCCACGCAGTTCAAGCCCGGTTGTTCAAGGGTCAGCTGTGTTGCCTTTACACGGTTGGTTGGTTCCATTTATCTTTCTCCTCCAGGTTAGGCAAGTTGTGTTTAACTGTAGAGAAACCAGCTGTATTTAAGCTTAAGTTAGCAGCCGCCTCAAGCCACTCTGCACGTGCTACACAAATCTACCTACTTCATTCACCACGGTTGGACCCAGCACGGTTCATTTTAGATGAAAACTGAATATACTGCTTGTAGAAACTTAATCTACTGCCTAATCTTCTAGAAACTAGAAGCATAGTTTTTCTTCAATTGTGTGCAAGATCCCAGAGTTAAAGGCCATTCGAAAGAATTTTTTTAAAAAATACTTGTGGGGGCTTCCCTGGTGGCACAGTGGTTGAGAGTCCGCCTGCCGACGCAGAGGACGCGGGTTCGTGCCCCGGTCCGGGAAGATC